CAAACACACCCGCTCGTACGTGCACAAAAACAAGAAGGGTGGGGGCTCGGATTCCAAAGGAGCGGGAATACCATAAAAGTTGCAATAAGGAACCATCACAGTCTGATTCACCAAATGACAGCCTTCTAAGCCACGGAATTAAGGGCATCGTGATAAATTCAAACGTGTCAGATTGTTTATAGTAAGAATAATGGGCTAAGAGTCTACCTAACTTCCGCACAGACAATCGACTGTTCCATCTGGTCAACCAACTGATGTTGAGATTCGGGAGACAGGGATGCAAGAGGTAAAAGCAGCCCCTCTGCGTGGGCCACACATGCGACCTGCCACCTCCTTCCCAAAAAACATTAAGTTCAAAAAAGAAGACGGACAGCTTGGGTCTAAAATGTGTGAGTGTCATAGGACATGGTGAAACAGTATGGGAGACACGCGCAGTGGATATGCTACGTAAGTCTCAGTCAGTAAAATCCGAATCGCGATACCTTCGAAAATACGACGGAAGCAACAGCAGGAAGTAAGGAGTTTCGGAGTCAAAGATACCAGTTCTTCTTGTGCTAAAGTAACAAATCGTGAGTTACAACGGAACAGCAGCAATAATCCCGAGCGCTTCTGTCTTTGAAAGCCTATCGCTGCATTCGACGGTGAGTTGCACCAACAAGACAAACGTAATCAGATTCGATGAGATGAAAATTCTACAGGCCTGTTTCTATTACCTCGAGGTTGGACTGCTGGCGTCAAAAAATTCTGTCAATGGATGAACTCACCTATTTCGGCCGAATTCGTATCCCTTTCGTCGTCAGAACGATCCGCGGAACACATCCAAGAGGGTGGGGTGCTGGGCGCAACGGCGTTGCGTGAAGAGAAAAATATGTTTGATGAAACCGTTCGGAAGAGACGACGATCATCCTCATCGTCCCGTTCATCATCCGAGAAGTGGATGCCTCGGGCCTTGACAGGTGCATCTAAATTGAGAACAAGTAAAACACAAAAGTGTGCTTTGTGTGCTTCACTTAGGCCCACTTCCAGAGCATCATTATGGGGAAATTACCTTCTATAGAGAGTACTGGCGCACCCAACATAACCTTAACGTGGTGCCGGTCAATAACAGGGAGACAGAGTTCAGGCAGCTCTTTTCGACCACTTTCCGGACAAACGAGTGAGGCTTTCTAAAAGTAAACAAAAACATGTTACTACCACGACTTAAGTAGAAGGTTAGTAATTAGTAATCAGTCATGTCGATCGGAGACAACAGGGTTACCTGCATGACGCCCAAAAATTCCGTCAGGTAGAAAGACTGCTTGGAGGCAGTCTGTTTGCTTTCTATTGTAACGAGGCTACGGAAAGAGGACAAGGCAGTAGGCAGATCATTCAAAAGGAGAGCCTGTTTTGCAAAATGTTCATTCAAGTGATCCTAAAAAATAAATTCGGTAGTTACGGCAAAGAATGGGTGGAAAACCAAAAGTTGAAGAAAAGCTAGGAAAATCAGACTAGTATCAACTAGCTTACCTCGGCGAGACTCCATTGAGAACCCTTGAGTATGTTGAGAGCCAGGGAGTAACAGCGCGCGCTTAGTTGGGGCTATCAGAGGAAATAGAACTAGTAAATAAGCGCTACTTATAAGTAACATAATAGTAACATTTGGCGCGAAATTACCTGTTTGGCACGGCCGTAGCGCATGGCTGCGAGAGTCATGCGAAAGGCATAATGACGGAGGGCTGGCTTTCGGAAACGAAGGCAGCATTGGGCTGCCTGTTCGAGGAGGAGTCCACCGGTCATGTAATCATGCTAGATGAATGTAAAAAATGCAGGAAATTCAATTATTTGAAGATGTGCAATCAGCCATACTGGGAATGCATTCCTACCCCATCAGACAGACGCAAAAAGCAAACGGCGGTCTCTGGAAAGAGGTCACGTGACTTGAGCGCCTCGGTGTTGAGGAGGACCGCTCGGAGTGCCAGTTCAGTGTTTCTAAAGGAAGATGAAGACCAAAAACATTATTTGAAGAAGAGTTGGCTTTAACAACTAACGAAATAGTCAGAAGAGTGGAAAGTGTGCCATATTTTCGATCCAAGCGACGCGCACGATGAAAAAATCAACCAAGGGTCCACAAATTGCCTTATTTATACAGGATAAAGCAGGAACAAAGGGTCGGCGGGCTGTAGGTTGAAGTGAAGTAACAGAAGCTAATGCTGGGGCATGGTCGATTGATCCAATTGACCAATGTGTAGGAGAACGCGATAATTTATTAAGCGAAACGGACGGGGACTAACTGAAAACTTGATAAAACAGTAGGGACTTACAAATAATACGAATGTTGACGGGGAAGAACATGTACAACTTGCAACACGTTCGCTCTCTCAAAGCCGTTTTAATCTATGGGTACGAAGAGGTTAAGAGGACTAATCGTAGACTTCGGCTAACCCAACCAATTCGTCTACAAGCATAACACACAGACGAAAATCCCACCAAACTCCATACGGATCACGCTAAAAGAAATTAGAAAGATATCGGATATTAAAAGGGTAAGAGCTACCACCAAACGCCCTATTTATGGGAGCCATTGCAGACTGATAGTCGCTTCCGTAAGAAGAAAGAGTCAACCGTCGTTTCAAAATCGTCTAAACAATGACCTCCAGCACATAACACTTATTCAAAGGCACGTATGATCTAGAGAGAGTGATACGTTTTATTTTGAAAATATTATTCCAAAATTTTCAGCAAAAGCGTCCTCCGTTCTAACAGAATAAAATAAGGCATACAAACTCACAACACCGGGAAATTAAAAGTAATTAATAACCGCAAATGACTGCAATTTTCGATATCATGGATAAATATCCTAGGAAGTGTCGTTGAATATAGACCAAATTGGACTGCCTTCAAAACAGCGCTAGTGTTGTGACCTTGTGCCCTCATAACCTCATTGTATTTCAAATAAACAGAGGGATGAAAATCGGTTTATAGTGGGCTAAGTAGGTCAACCGACGTGTATATAAGAAAATTTACATGCGAATAGATGGAGAAAATGGCAGTGCAAATTGAAAAGCCCGCCTGCAATACTGTAATAAGGAAGGATTGCGCAACATATAGTTATCATTTCCTTCCAGCTTCTGCTGTACTCAGTTCCCTAAAACACTCAGAATAAGCTGGAAAAGGGGTAGACTTCGAGCGAGTGCCTTAACTAAGAGCAATTGGAAGGAAGTTAAGTGAAGTCAGGCAGAAATAGGTAGCATGTCAGCTTTACCACGTTCTATTCCGTAAAGTTTTCTATCAAATGGCCTTGTGAGAAGACAACCCTAAAGCTTTTAGAAGCCGAAGATTAAAAAATTACTCTGGGCAGCCGGCGACCTCCATAGTCACCTAATCCCCTTTCCATGTACAAGCAGAAGCATTACAATGAATGAAAACAGTGATCTACAAGATGATTGGGAGGGGGAGTAAGTACCTGCAGCGATAGAGATAGGCATTTATAGCTTCATCCATTTGGTGTTGGGGATACTGGCGTTGACTTGCGGAACCTTGGAGGAAAGTTGAGAGCGCTGACATTTCCTGCAAACATGACGGACAAACAAAAGATATACAATTAGTCAGTGTTACCATCGCTATAAACAACAGCAAAGAAGTTCACATACGTATGCGAAAACCTAACAACACCACTTACTGCTCCCCAGGATCTACGTGAATGCGATTAAGACGGTTTACGAGGGGAAAAAAGAGCCTCGAAAAATAGTGAACAGACACATTTATTTATCGTTTGAGCATGCGGCAGTCAAAAAACCATCCGAATTGGAGTGTTCTGGTCCGTTAGATCGGTGAGAAAGCGATTGGAGAAATCAAACTTAATGGGATCATACACCAGATTTGTTGGAGTTCCCACGATGTTTCGTGCTCAACGATCTGTCAGGTCACGGTAGACGATAGAGCTCTTAACTAAGTGGGCAGCTTCTAGACGAACTGTGCGTCAGTCGAACAGAGTTAGGGCAAAATCGACTATGGGATCAGTCAGGCAAGTGACTGAAACCACATCAAAACTACCCTTTTGTATGGATGTAATGCACGCAGAGAAAATTTACTTTTTGGATGCACTTCGATCGCGTCTTCTGGGGACGGTTATAGGCGGTCAGGAGTCCGTATCCCGAATTGTGTGTTTTAATCGCTGAAAAAATTGGGTTTAATCACGTCCTGTGTCGATCTGAAGACGAAAACATCCGGTAATTTATATTCCCTAAGCTTATTTTTGCCCAAAGAGTACTGAAAGCTGACCCCGAACATAATTCAGACCCTGCGGTCTTCGGTGTGCGTAGTTGGTGTGCCAAGGGACTCAACTTAGCTCGGCAGTCCACCGCTAAATAAACTGTGGTATAAAATGATAATTACCGGTACACTGCACCCGCAACATACAGCCAGGCCAATTATACATTATATCCTCTCAAGTACAAGTATCTAGTCTCAGACAGCTAGACTTCACGCCGGAAAGAAGGCAATGGAATGCAGTCACTCCGGACTCCGTTCGTTTAAAGCCTAGAATAGACAGAAAGTGGCACGAAAGTCTACTTGCAGGGGGTGAAGTAAAAGTTTCGATAAGGGGACATCAGTGGGCTAGGGCTAGCTTATCTCAACTCGGTTGCCAGTTATAATAGGGGAGGGAAGAGGAGTGAGAGGAATACCTGAACACCTGCGTAGTGTAGCCAGGCAGAATCATTTTGAAAGTCTCGTCGCAAGACTTCGTAGATCTGAT